CCAGCAGGTGAATGGTGTTTATAAGGTGGCTATGGTGGTCAGAGTAGTATGAGTGGCCATGACCAAGTTCTGCAGAAAACTCCAGTGACTATCAGTCGAACCTTGCGTAGGAGAGAAAGAGCACTGAACAGCTACTACAGAAATAAAAGCTGTGCATTCATGGGAGCTGAAGAGAATGGGAGGGATGTCTAGAATATCCAGTATGATTGGTAAGTGGGAAATAAAATGATTCTGATCACTCTTGGTCAACTTTCTTTCTCCTCTTTAAAGAAAACAAACAAAGTTAAGGTTTAACAGTTTCGCATTACACACTTGTAATTCATGCTTACTGTAAAGTGGAAGTCAAGATTGTTTTAAAACTTTTAAGTTTTAATTAGTTTTGAACACTGAAACATTCATCTAGGATGTAATAGCAAAGTTCATAACTGTTAGAACAACTTCCAGCTTTCTTCAAGTTAGTGATGTTGTAGGAGTATATCTAAGCAGCAAGCATATTTAGGTTAAAGCAGTTTCACTTATGTTGAATGTTGCTCTTAGGGCGGGGTTTGTAGCTCAGTGGTAGAGTGCTTGCCTAGTATGTTTGAGGCCCTGGATTCGATTCTCAGCACCACATATAAATAAAATAAAGGTCCATTGACAACTAAAAAATATTTTTAAAAAATGTTGGCCTTATACCACAATACATTGAAAACTTTAGCTGCGTGTTGAGAAACATGGTCTTCTGTAAAACTCAAATATAGGAGCTGTGTCTGTGACTCAAAGTGAAAATATTTGACATGTTTATTAATTCTAGCTTTTGATTTAATATCCTGGAAGGCATGTGAGTGTACACTTTCATTTTATTTTAAGATCTAAGACAAGTTTGATCTATAATACCAATACTTAGGAGTTTGGTCGTGTCGTTTGTATGATATTCTGAGGCTTTGATTTAAATCTTTCCTTGTATTACAAGTTCCGTTTAGATGTATTGTACCAAGTGAAACTTGTTAAATAAATCCTCCTTTTAAAAACTGGGGGAAAAAGGAAGGAAGCATAATGCCCAGTATATGCCACCTACAAATACTGCCCTAGACCATATGCCAGGTGACATAAAAGGCCACTAGCTGTAAGTGGAGCTCAGAGCAGAAGAGGTTTACAGCAGGTCCAGACTACAGTGCAGGCAGTCCTGCTATTTGGCCATTTGTGTTTGCATAGTGTTATCAGTGGCATAAAAAGGTGTTGTGTAGAGTTTATGGCAAGCTCTGCCTGGTAAACTACAACACAGGCCCCCATGGGATTAGAGCTAGGTCATGCCATCTGCAGCAGAGATTTATGTTCTTTTGAAGAAAAAAATGTTGTGCTTGTGTGCTATTGGGTCTGCTTATGGGAAATCAAGTGACCACATGTCAGGTATTATCTGTAATAATCTGGGTTCCGTTAAACCCAGATCATAATATCAGACAGGCAGCAACAATCCAGGGTAGGATGGAACTGGTACATCTGCGACTGAGCACAACCAGGACCAGAGGGCACACACAGGTTCATGAGCTGGCATCCTAGACCCCATGACCGCTGCTATACCAGCCCCTCTCCCCAAGTTCCCACTTATGGCTATATGCAGGATACATTACAACCAGCTAACAAGAGGAGGAAAAATCCCATATGTGGCTTATGGGGGTTCTGCTCAGAATGGGATTTCAGATTGAAAATGGAGGGCAAGTGCTCTGTAGCCTCACATAAAGGCAGGGTTGAAAGAGAATGGTGAAGGAAAACATTTGAACGGGCAGGGCTTCAGGAGGGGCACTTGATCATCCACTTTGTGTGGACAGAGAGGTGCCCCAAGTTTACAATGCATATGAGCTCAGGGACAGTGATGAAAGGCCTCCTTGGCCAGCTAGGGGCCTAGAAGCAGAAAGATTTGAAGACTGAGGACAAGGAGACCTGGGATAGAAGCATGAGGTTGAATGTTAACACCCACCATAAAGCCGCCATGGAAGAGGTACCAAGAAGTCAAGAAGACAAAAGTGTCCTGGCCACTTGATCTTGGCTAGCCTTTGTTATCAGCCACCTAGTGCAGACACTAAGGGCACATACATAAAATGACCACGGTGGCAGAGACAGTCTCCCTAACAGCATGGGATGCCACTTATAGAGGCTAATCTAACTACTGCTGCTGATTGAACCCCACTCTAGACCAACTGGCCCTATGGGGGCAAGTTGAGTATACTGAACCCCTTCCACCTTGGAAGAGCCATGATTCATCCTGATGGGGATTGACATATATTCTAGGTACTGTTTAATATTCCTGCTCACAGAACCTTAGCATCACTGAGAGAGAATCAAGTACATATTTGCCAGCACTGGATCTCACATAACAATTTACTGCAATGGTGGTGCAGAAATGAGTCTAGGATTCCCTAAGCATTCTACCATTTAGATATTCCTGGCACCTAAGTAGATATTCTGAGGTAGGTATTGGAATGGCCTGCTAAGAACCCAATTGTGGCAGTGGCTTGGAGACAGTACTTTACAAGGATGAGGATGCCATGTACATTTTTTTGTAGGGGGTACTGGGGATTGAACTTGGGGGCACTCGGCCACTGAGACATATCCCCAGTCCTATTTTGTATTTTATTTAGGAACAGGGTTTCACTGAGTTGTTTAGTACCTCACTTTTGCTGAGACTGGCTTTGAAATCTCGATCCTCTTGCCTCACCCTTCCAAGCTGCTGGGATTACAGACATGAGCCATGGCACCTGGTGCCATGCACATTTTGAATCAAAGATGATGCTCTGACTTTGGGACCTGCTGGGCTAAAGGTCTTTGTATCCAAAGGAGGAATCGTCCACCAGATGACTCAGCAAGAGTCCTCTTGAGCTACAAGCTATAGATGCCACCTGGGCACTTTGTGAACCCTATGTGCAGGAACCAGAAGTCAAGAAGAGTCATCAACATCTTGGCCAAGATTGATTCACTTTTAGCACTCTCTTGCCCAATCATGACAACAGAGAGGCAAGTGAAGTGTAGCAATCCTAGTTTGAGAAGTGCCTGGTGGTCATCAAGGGACCACAAATCTCCAGAGTACAAGGCATCAGGTAAACCAGAACCTGGTGGAGATACTAGCAGAGAGAAGGGCATTCAGAATGGATGATGAGGAAGGAGACAATGAGCACCAGTGGTGGTGATCCCCAAATAACTGCAGCAGCTGGGGTTATAGTTTGTCCCAATAACCTTCCTCTTCAATTTCAAGCAAGAGTCCTAGAGGAGCTGCTCCTAAAATTGCCTGGGTGAAGCCCGTCTTCAAAGGCTGGCTGTGGCAACTCTTCCAGCTCTCTTTCTTCTTTTCTGTCTGGACAAATATTTCTACAAATGCTTGCTGAACAGCCACAAATAAGAGGCAGCTAATGGAAACTATGCATCCTGCCACCAAGACAGCACATAACTGAGTGAGAAAACACACGTAAACATCTATGGGGAAAATCCTCTAACATCAATATTTTCATACACACATTTCTCTGGTACTTGACCTGCACGCACATTCCATACCCTGGGGAGCATCTCATGTATGCCCAGAGCAAGTTTGGTCAGTTGTTACAGACTTTAGCTATTTTCTGTCTCTTCCTTTGCTCTGTCCTGCTCTGCCCGGAACCATAAAGTCCCATGGGCATTGTGCCTCTGCTGGGCAAGGCTGCTGCTGCTGATTCACTGGAGCCTGGGAAGTGCCAAAACTGCCCGGTGGGGTAGGGGTGGGGAAGCTTCTCTCCCCTTTTGTGTTTTGCTTTGTCATGGGTGGGGAGACAGAGAAGAAGGTTAATTCATATCTCAATTTTTAAAAACATAGTTTTAAATAAAATCTTTCTTTCTTTCTCCACCCCTCCCCCCAAACCAGGGCTTTCTCTTTCTTTCAACTTAAAGTATCCTTCTCTCTTTCTTCCACTTCCATAAGACTTGGATTTGAGTCCAGAAACTGGGTTGGAAGGCAAATGCAGTGATAAATGGAATGTTAAAAGGCTCTTCCCACAGCTACTTGTGGGGGGAAGGGGGGTCCACGGCCCTACTCTATTGCTCCTGTACAGATTTATGTTTAAGGTGGGTTCTCACTTTGTTCCTAGAACCAGGAGTGTGAAGAATAAAAGATTAATTCATGTAGGAGGATCAAGGATGCTCTTACACAAGAAATGTTACTTGAGCTGGGTTTTAAAGACGAAATAAAGATAAGTTTGTGAGGTTGGGAAAGGTTTAGAGGTGTAGAGGGACATCTGAGGAGACATCCCAGAAGGCGGATGGATATGGAGATTTGGTAGTCGCTGGTATTGAAGTCAAGATGTGGGAGGCACTGCCCAGCAATAGCAGAGTGGAGAAAAGAGGGCCAGGGCGGGCTTCGAGTTCAAAGCCTTTCTCTGCCTGGGCAGCTCCAGCCGCCTGACCAGCTGCTACGCCTCCTGCAGGCGTGCACAGGGTATTCCGCCTTGTCTTTGCACCATCTCCCTTCCCTGTTGTGTCTATGTGCATCTCCTAGAATCCAGCTCATATATAACCAGTTCGGTGAACCCCTCTTCCCATAATAGTAATATGCTTATGTTTTCTCCAGAATTCCGAAGGCCCCCAGGACAGGGCAATACCTTAAGAATCCTTTTATTATGTTCCCCTCGCCTGGGAAAGTGTTTGGCACAAGTGCAGCACCGATACTGTGAATAAATGAGTGGGCAAAAGAATGAGTGGCGCAAGGGTGGCCTTCATCCGGAGAGCAGGGAAGCCAGGAAGGAACTGCGAAGTTGGCCGGTTCATCCTAAAAACTTTGCCCATTTTAGGGCTGGGAGACCGTCTGAGCCTCGGTCCCAAGCACCTCCTAGGCCCCGCCTGGGCAGCTCGGCGCCGGAACTCCCCCGCACCCTCCCAGCCAACTACCTCACCTTTGCCCCACTCCGAGCCCAGCCCCTAACTTTCCTCCGCCGCCATTGGCTGCGCGACCGCCCAATGGGCAGGCGGGAGCCTCAAGCTCGATTTCCTAGCAGAGGGCGTCCGTTCTCGTTCGCGCGTCTCGCGAGTGTTAGGGTGATTGGCGGAGGCGGTGCAGCTTCGCGGGGCTTGAGGTTGCTGAGGCCGAGGTGACAGCTTGGCCCACTAGAGCAGAGACTATGTTTCGGGTGGCGGCTCCAGGGCAGCTCCGGAGGGCGGTGAGTCCGGTCGGGGAGGGCCGAGCTGATGACTGTCCGGCCTCAATCTGCCGTCCCTGTGAGGGTCTTGGCGAAGGTCACCGGCTCCTACAGCTCCGACAGGCCCAGGCCAGGCCCAGGGACTGCCCTTGACTTCTCCCGGGCCTCAGGCTTGGAGCAAAGATCGGGCGTCAGGCTGATCAAATAGTGAGCCTGCACTGCTCTGCTGCTGCTGCTGCTGTTCCTGTCCTCGGCCGCCCTCCCCTTGCTCACTTCCTCACCTTTCTGGCCCGGACTTGGCTTTCTTGGCCCACCCACGTTCTCCACACCTGCAGCTGCCTCCCCGGTGAATCTTGATCCAAGGGAGCAAGATGTCGCTCTGGGGAATGTCCTCTGGAGAAAGTTTAAAACTCGGGTTCGCCCGGAACCCGACATTTCTGGAAGCATACTCACTTGGCGCTTACTGGCTGCTCTGACCCACTCGTGGTCAAGGGCTTGGGGAGGGGCGGGGTGTGAGGATGCCACGTTGCTCTGCTTTCTGCCTAATGGGCCAGCGCTGAGTTGAGGTGATCGCGTGTGCAAAGCCCGTGGATCAGTTTGACGGCTTTGACTAATTTGAAGAAGCAGGTGTCTTTTAAACCAGGTTGTAGAAAGATAGTAGTACGTTTTTGATGTTTTCGGTAGTGACAAATCTTGAGTTTGCATCATTTCTTTTTTGTTGTTGTTGTGGATGGACACAATACTTTATTTTTATGTGGCGCGGAGGTTCGAACCCAGGGCCTCACGCATGCTAGGCAAGCGCTCTACCACTGAGCTACAACCCCAGCTGCATAATGTCTTTTTGTTGTTGTTGTTGTGTCAGGGACTGACAGGAAATATATTTTTGCCCTAATGCTCTGGGAGAACAGTAATTGGAGACTGACAAACTACAAGTCAATTTATATTGTGGATTCTGTGGGTTTTCTAATTTACATTTAGGTTAAATGAGAAGCTAGGTTGCTAAACTCGCTAGGACTCTTGTCATCCTACCTACTTGGGAGACTGGGGCAGAAAGACCCCCAAGTTCCATGCCAGCCTAGGCAATTTAAAGAAACCTAGTCTCAAAATATAAAGGGCCTGTGTCTCCTTGGTAGAGCACTTGTCTAACATGTCCATGGCCTTGGGTTCAATCACCAGTAAAAGAGATTGCTAACCTTGGGTTAAAAAATGTCCTGATGTTGTGCGACTTTCATACACACACACACACACACACACACACACCTTTTTTTTTTTTTTAGTGTATATGTTTTTTCCCATGCACCACTGAGATTTTTCCATAGCTGGTGGTCTTTTTGGGGTGTCTATAGACAGTTTTTTCCCTTGTACTTTCATAAAGTCCTGACCTCTTCCAAAAAGTTCAAGCAACTCACATCTTTCACCTCAGAGTCCTGTTTTTCCCTCAGGAGTCTTTTTTTTTTTAACCCCCTTAAAGATCTAGACAGAAGTAAATGTCATGTTTTGGGGAAAATTCCAAGAACCAGAGCCAGAGTTGTAAAATACCTCTCTGTAGGAGTTGGAAGGCAGTTTTGTGGGCAGATTGCGCTTGTGGTATAATTGTGAATTTAGGACTCAGTAATTTTGGAGAGCTAATAAAAAGTGGAATGATTAGTTTAAGTAATTCTTAATATCCTACACAGTTGGCCAATATACATAGACAGTATTTCCAAACCTTTTTTTGTGGCTTGCCAAGGACTTTGACCTTGACTTATTTTTAAAATTTGAAGTCAAATAGTAGAATAGTTGCTCTAAACTGATTAAGAATATTTTAGATTAGAATTTCAAGCATATAACAAATGGTGGAAACTCTTCTAATACAGACATCTAGATACACATAACACATTTAGCTTTTTAAATTTTTAAGTAATTTCAAAATTGGAGAAAACTTGCAAGAATAGTACAAAGAATTCTCAGAATTCCCTTTCTAGGTTCACTAGTGGTTAACAGTTTGGCACATTTGCTTTCTCTTTCTACATATATATACAGGAAATACATTGACAGGAATTATTAATAATTATTAAATAATATAACTTATTATTTTTCCAGAGTACTTGAAATTATAATGCAGATATACCCTTTCCTCCTAAGTGATTCAGAGGGTATATCAAAAGAACAAAGGTTTCAGTTTCATAACCATAGTATAATTAGAAAAATCAGAAAGGTAACAGTGATACAATGTTCTCATCTGCATTCATATTTTGCCAACCTTGTTTATATTGTTTAGCAATTTTTGTTTTTATGGTCTAAGGTATGGTCCAGATGTCTTGCATGTGGTTTTCTTGTCCCTTTAGTCTTTGTTAGAAAATTTCTCCAGCCTTTCTTTGACTTTGATGACATTGACATTTTTGAAGAGTACAGGTTTTCTATTTTTTAGACTGTTACCCAATTTAGTTTTTTTTTTAAAAAATATATATTTTTAGTTGTAGATGGACACAGTACCTTTATTTTGTTTATTTATTTTTATGTGGTCCTGAGGATCGAACCCAGTGCTTCACAAGTGTTAGGCAAGTGCTCTACCACTGAGCTACAACCCCAGCCCCCAACTTCATTTTGTTTGGTATTTCCCTCCTGATTAGACTCTGGCCATGTACTCTTGGCAGGGATGTCACTAAAGTAACATTCTGTCTCAGTGCATCATATTAAGAGGCAGTTGGCGTTAGTTTGTCCCATTACTGGTGATGTTAACTTTAGTCACTTAGGTAGCAAGTTGTTTGCCAAGTTTCTCCACTGTCAAGTAATAACTCCTTCTCTGTAATTTTACTAGGTGGGGAGATACATTGAAACTATGTAACTCTCATGAATATCACCTATTAGTCTTAGAATTTGTTGATGAATCTTGCCTGAGAAATTATTGCTGTGATGAAAAATGGTGATTTTTCTAATTCCACTGTTTACATTTATTAGTTAGTATTCTATTCTGAGTAACAGTTCCTTCTTGCTTATTTATGTATTTAGGGATTCAGGAATTCTTTTTTTTTAAAGAGAGAGGTGAGAGAGAGAGAGAGAGAGAGACAGAGAGAATTTTTAATATTTATTTTTTAGTTTTCGGCTGACACAACATCTTTGTTTGTATGTGGTGCTGAGGATCGAACCCGAGCCGCACGCATGCCAGGCGAGCGCGCTACCACTTGAGCCACATCCCCAGCCCTCAGGAATTCTTATTTAGTAAGTTATCATCTCTTTTTACCTGTATTTATTTTGATCCTCAAAGTGGGATTATTATGTTGTGAAAATAATATAAGTTCAATTTGATTTATTTTTTAAGCTCTTTTTTTTTAAGTTATAGATGGACACAATACCTTTATTTTATTCATTTATTTTTTTATGTGGTGCTGAGGATTGAACCTATTGCCTCATACATGCTAGGTGAACACTCTACCACCAAGCCACAACCTCAGCCCTGTGATTTTTAAAAAAATATTTTTAGTTGTAGATGAATACAATACCTTTATTTTATTTATTTATTTTTATCTGATGCTGAGGATTAAACATAGGGGTTAAATTTCATTCTGCCACATATGGATTTTCAGTTTTCTCAGCACTATTTGTTGAGAGGCTATCTTTTCTCCAAAGTATGTTTATGACACCTTTGTCTAGTATGAGATAACTATATGTACATGAGTTTGTCTCTGTGTCCTCTGTTTTATACCGTTGGTCTTCATATCTGTTTTGGTGCCAATATCATGCTGTTTTGTTACTGGAACTCTATAGTATAATTGTGTTATAGTATAATTGTGATGCTCCTGCTTCACTTATCTTGCTGAGGATTGCTTTGATTATTCTGGGCCTCTTATTTTTCCAAATGAATTTCATGACTGCTTTTTCTATTTTTATGAGGAACATCATTGGAATTTTAATAGAATTGCATTCAGGGCTGGGGATGTGACTCAAGCTGTAACGCACTCACCTGGCATGCTTGGGGCACTGGGTTCGATCCTTAGCACCACATAAAGATGTTGTGTCCACTGAAAAACTGAAAAATAAATATTAAAAAATTCTTTCTCTCTTTCTCTCTCTCTCTCTCGTCTCTCTTAAAAAAAGAAAAAGAAAAGAAAGGAAATTCAATCTGTATAGTGAGCGCTTTTGGTGGTATGGCCATTTTTACAATATTAATTCTGCCTATCCAAGAACATGGGAGATCTTGCCATCTTTTAAGTTCTTCTTGAATTTCTTTCTTTAGTATTCTGTAGCTTTCATTATAAAGGTGTTTCACCTCTTTTGTTAGATTTACTTCCAAGTATTATATTTTTTTGAGGGTATCGTGAATGGGAGAGTTTTCCTAACTTCTCTTTCAGCTGATTCATTATTGGTGTGTAGGAATGCAGTTGATTTATGGGTGTTAATTTTATATCCTGCTACTTTGCTGAATTCTTTTATGAGTTCTAGAAACTTGGTTTTTTAAAACTATAATTTTTCAATAAATTAAAAAAGAAAAATTATTAAACTTTTTTAGAATGTAAGTTAAATGACTTTTGTTTAGTATCTATATTCTGTTTCCAGTTTTGATTGATTTGTGCTACCAAGCAATGTCCTTCGTCTTGGGGAGGGATCCCCAAAGTCAGTTGTTAACAAAGGTGGTTATTACATCTATAATATAGAGCTGGAGAACACACTAAGGAGAAAATGGAGAGGCAGACAATTGAAATTGCAATTAGTTAACTTCTTTTTTTTGGTAGTACTAGGGATTGAATCCAGGGTCTCTGCCACTGAGCTACATTCTCAGACCTTTTTATTTTTTATGTTGAGGCAGGACCTTGCTAAGTTGTCCAGGTTGGTCTCAAACTTGTGATTCTCCTGCCTCAGCTTCCCAGGTCTCTGGGATTACAGGTGTGCACCACCATGCCCAGCTACAATTAGTCACTAATATTCTTGCGGGGTGACTAATCTAAATTTATATTTTGTTGATTTATTTTTAAGTGGATTTGATGACTAATAAAAAGATGCCAAAAAGTAAAAAATAAATATTCTGTGGAGAGGGAAGCAAT